GAAATGTTGCAACAAATTCTCACCGAATCAATTTCTGTCAACAGTAGTGCCGTCATTAAAAGAAGTGGATGTTTTGAAGGTTAAAACAACGGTGGTATGCAGTGTTCTAATATACTGAAAGAACGCATTTTTCGGTGCACTACAAGGAACTGCCTTGGAAACCTGAAGGTGGGAAGCCTTCGATGGAGTTGTTAGTGGGGGAAATCGGAAGGTGAAGATGAGTGTGAATATTTCATGGGATTGAACAAGGGCTTGCGGTGGCCCGTGCCTCTCCTATCCTCTTATTTTGAACGGACATCTCATTAGCTCGCTCAAGCCTTCTTTGTGGCACCGTATTGGCCCTACCCTTAACGGGTTTGATCACGCCTCCGTACTCACCTCAGATTCATCCTGTGTTCTGGACATGTTCACTGCCACGTCTGTGTTCGTCTTGACCCTATTACTGTGCTCCTTTCGCCTGGCCTCTCATGCTTGGACCAGTTCGTAAAGTAGCACTTGACTCCACATCCCCACTGTACAATGCTAACGCGCGGACACACTGCGCACCTATGGGCAGTCGGAGAAAATAGGTCTAGCGGCATCCTTGTTTGTTGCATCATTGAGCGCCTGAAGGATACTCGACGCGTTCTCTCTACTCTGAACCCGTCCAATCGGCACGCTTTGTGGGAGCGCAACCGTCCATGAGGAAGCGCGCAGGTGGTGTCAGTTGTCTCTCTGCCACTTTGGTCGGGCTACATGTGAAGTGGAGACTCGACTGCAAACTGCATCATCTAACGGCCAATCTGGCGCGGAGACTCAGCCGAACTCCCTATCCAAATCACACGATAACCTGACACCGGTAGGACAGCGGACTGAAAGGACTGAAACTAACGAAGGTCATTGTGAGGGCAACGTGCGCTGACCTCACCAGTGTAGCGCAAGGCTGGTCACAAAGTACACACACACACACACACACACACACACACACACACACACACAGCAATCATGTTATGACTAGACGAAGTGATGAACTTCTTACCATTTGTTTATCGGATCACTGGTTGGGTGATGGATCACCAGCACATACCGCCGTCACCAAGTTACCCTTAATCCGAATCGTGTTACGTGCTGATTAATCAGCGAGTGCTTATTTTCGTCTGTATGGTGAGTGGTGAGAAAATTTGAGAAAATTGGGTGTTTGCAACGACCAAAAGACAGCGTTGCCTCGCATCAACACGGGTGATTTTTCTGGTTGTGTGGTTATTCGTGAGGTATCTAGAAGCTGCTATCTGAGAATTCGGAAACTCGCCCAGCATTGTGACACCAACACCATAGGATTTTGGAGTGAAGGAAATACCGGAAGTATAGCGCCCGTCAAGTGCTGGTTTTAAACCCATCAGCTTCGGAGAAACGGCTTGATTTTGCCACACGTTTTCGAATGTCATGGACATGCATTCAAATCCCTTTACCGATGAGTTCGTTTTTCGTTTGCACGGTGCGGAGAAGCAACAATTATGGGCAACTTGTAATCCACGCCGATGCAGCGCTTCACGTATACAACATGGCGCAATGCTCATGGTATGGGCTGGATTAACTGGCCAAAGAATCGTGCGACCATTTTTGTTTTCCGGTAATGCGACCGGTAGGTCGTTGTTTCGCAGTACCAATGCTTTACGTTTTCTAGCATCGTCGTAGAAGGAATTACTGCAAAATTGTTTCATTCTGGAACTGGAAGCTGCTTTCGGCCTTGTTCAGTCGTGTATGTTTGTCGCGTTGCCTATAGGTGAGGCTCCTTCCCACAGGTGCCAGTACATCAGTACATGCAGCAACGTCGTTGACAAATTGACCAGCAGCCATAGTCGGATTGTTGGTTCAGACTGATGGCTCCCAATTTATAGTGCAGATAAGTTCCTTAAATGCATTCCAGCCAATTCGGTGAATGCCATGAGTGGGTTGCAACTTTGTGCTGGACTGGCATAGTTCGTTCAATGTTCAGGATACAAAACGCCGTGTTCTGGTCGCAGGCCGGTAGTGGACTGTCAGTGAGTGCACAAATAGAATGGATCCTCATGGTTAATGCCTAATCTAGGGTATCGGCATTTCCAATACGCCCTCTGACATATATGATGCAGCCATTGAAATAATTAAAGTACACCATTTCGTCTAGTCCCCTTTAGACCGTAGGTCCATGCAGCAGCCAGTTAACTTGTGGCGCATTGAAATATTCACGCATAAGTTTGGACTTGTAGGTAGTGCTTGAAACTGTGTAGATGACATACATTAGCTGCTAGATTTCATGATGGGTTGCTCGGGGAGGTCGGTAGATATAAGCAATTACAGGATGCCAATCAGTTCTAACATGTTCCGCAATTTAACGTTTGAAACCTGGTGTAATGGTTTACGCATATCGAGATATGTGCTTACAACGGACTTCTCAGCATCAGCAACCACTGTTGTGTGTTTAAGAACGTTCAATTGGAAAGTCGCACCTAACCAGGCCTGTAGAAAACCATGTTATGTCTAATTGATTAGATATTCCGAGAATAAGAAACCTATCATCTCGTTTTAACCATTCGCTGTTGTTCCAGACAGTCCGAGTCTGATTTAACAAGAGGCAACCAGTATGTTGCTCTCTTGCGAAGGGTACTCGACAGTTTAGATTCATCCATCTTCTCCCGGGTGCTGAACGTCTACGTACGTCCCAAGTCGAATAAGCTATCCTGGCTTAGCAACCCTGGTTAAAGCGCGACCTCGCTGCGCTCGAAAGACGCCGGACAACGAAGATTGCCAAGGGCTTGCGGCACCTTCCGTATCCGAACGACTGCAGAGACTCGGATTGCTCAGTGGACACTACGGGGAGACCTCATAATGTTATACCAAATACTGCGTGATCGCAGTCATGTATGCCGATACGTTGTGAAGATCAAGCGGGACAATATCTTGAGAGTAAACAGCTTAAAATTAAACCAATATTACAGTCATTTAGACTGTCAACCATCTTACTTCTCCCTCCGGATTAGCTAGCCCTGAAACGCCCTTCCAGATTCAGTCGTTTATGCACCTACATCGTCCACTATCAAAACGTGTTGGGATATTGAACTCAATTCCCTAAACGCGTTTAGCTTAACGGGTACTCTGCCATGCATTTATGTGGAATTAGAATCCACAACGATGATGCAACTTGCTGAAGGCGAATGAGCAGTCCCATCTATCTTTACTTATAACGGGGAACACCATGTTATGTACCGTGTGTCTTTAACGCTGTAGTCGGCTACTTCCCTTAGGATAAACTCGATTACGTTGGTCAGACATTTGGCAAAATTTTGATACAGTGCGCCTACCATTGAAATAATTGGTGGCATGGAATACCCTCCTTGTGGGTTTTCGGCAGTTCTTACAAATAAGGAAGCCGAGATGCTTATGTGATCGGCTGTGTCAAAGATTTTGCCTGATTCCATCCCACCGTCGTTAGGATCTTTTGTTCACGAACGTTTGATTTCATGACCTGTTCGATTTTATCGTTGCCTGTCACATTACGAACTAATCGACTAGAGTCTGGGAGTATTTATTACATTTTCTGGATGTAGCTCAGTTTTTCCGTTATAACGACTCCTGAACCCATATCTTGTCTCAGCATTATAACCTTTTCATTGCGTAGCTATTGCATTAAGAACTCGTAATGATCCTTCGTCACGGTACGTCATTTCTAGGCGTCACTTGCGCATGACCGTTTGGCAAGGTCTACTCTCGTAGTTATAAGGCAACAGTTTGGCTCCTCATTGATTTGTGTTAAACTGGGCAGATGTTAGTTCAAATGTGTAAACTGAGCCTCGACTGCTATTCTGTCACATGGATTTGGTGGAATAGAGAAAAGGAACTCTAGGCACAAGGTTTCAAGTTGGGGCGATCTACAGGAGAACCGATATCCCGCAGTCCGCAGCCGTAACAGTGTCAGGTTATTGTGTGATTTGGATAGGGAGTTCGGCTGAGTCTCCGCGCCAGATTGGCCGTTAGATGATGCAGTTTGCAGTCGAGTCTCCACTTCACATGTAGCCCGACCAAAGTGGCAGAGAGACAACTGACACCACCTGCGCGCTTCCTCATGGACGGTTGCGCTCCCACAAAGCGCGCCGATTGGACGGGTTCAGGTTTGAGAGAACGCGTCGTATCGTTCAGGCGCTCAATGATGCAACAGACAAGGATGCCGCTGAAGCTATATTTTCAGACTGTCTGAAGACAAGGTCCGGGTAGCAAAGCTTCAACATCCGCCCATTTGAGTGTGACCACGCGAGTATCTCCTACCCTGCTTGGGCCTAGCTACAGTATGACTAAATTTGCTAGCTGGACTCCCCTTCATCCAACGCGCGATTGCTCTGTGACATAGGAGACTTTTAAACAGCCGTGCAGGTATATCTTCCGGATGTTACTGGCTGATAGCGGTTCACCACTCAATGCGCTCCTGGAGGCAATTTCGGTGATTATCGCATTACCTTTACTACGCTACGGAGAAAAGCTGCTGCCTTATGAATGAAAGCGATTGCATTGCGAATGTAATCATTTGAACTATTTAGTGTTTTCCCTTCTTTTAGGCTACTTCATCGGGCTGATGCTCTGACACGTTTTTGAGACGCGAATTTTGTATGCTTTAGGGTTCGGGGAGAGCTGATCTATTCTGCTCGTTTTTATGACCAAGGTTGCTAAATCGCACACCTGATCGATGCTGCAGCCGTATACTGGAGACCGCGAGCACGTGTGGAGCTGTGTGGACACGTGACGTCAGTCGGTCCCGCAATTCGCAGGCGAAAGTGAAGATATTTGCCCTGTATACTAATTCCTGCCATCTCCTTTAGGTAATTTGTGCTTGCAATTTCGTCTTCTGCTTTTGCACCGTCCGGGTTGGCCACACACAAGACGGATAGCAGCAACACTACAGTGTGACAACAGGCATGAAGTGCACTTCTGCAATCTAATGAGCATGGATAAAAAGGAATGAAATTACTTGTTCATAAAAGCAAACTCACCCCCGATCAGCATGAATACGACCGATACGATCTTTTCACCGAAAGTCGTGGCAGAGACGTTCCCAAAGCCGATGCTTGTGATGAGGGACAAAGTAAAGTACAATGAGGTCACATACGTCATGGTTCGTGGAAGCGGCAGAGGCTGCGCGAGGGGAGGGGAGACGAAACAACGTATCACAATGTTGTTTCATAGCATATTAATTATGCTGAATCTATATGTCTCAGCTAACAACCCCAAGTTTGTGCGCATCATTTTCATAAATACATGTTAGATAAATGAAAGAAACACACCCCACCTAATGCGCCGCAGTCCAAAAAGGGAATATATATGACAATAAACGAGGTAAAACATTCGAAATACCGGTAGCTCGGGTTGATGAATCAATTGTTCATTTGTTCTCCGAGCTTGGCGGTTTTCTCGCGGTTTTCTCACACTGGAATAGCCCCACAGCTAAGTCATGTCCAGTGAACGCAGTCTCCATGACTTGGGCAATAGAGCAGTTAAAAAGGAATGGTGGCAGCGGGCATCCTTGCCTCACTCCGCTGGATTTACTGAATGACTAGGACAGCTTTCCGTAAGCCCGCACTCTGCCCGAAGTATGCGAGTAAAGCGCTCTGCGAATGTTTACGTACTTTCAAGCACACCTTTCCTAAGCAGACAGTCCCAAAAGACACACTGATCTACCGATTCAAAGGCACCTTTGATGTCAAGGAACAGGACTACGGTAGGTCGCCAATAAATAAGGTGGGGTTCCAATAACTGACGTACCATGAAGATGTGATCAATGCAGCCTGGATTTTGACGAAACCCGACTTGCTCCTTGCCAATCTTTCTGTAGCGAGTGCCAGTTAGTCTATGGAGGACGACAGAGACAAGTAACTTAGTGGTAATTGAGATCAAACGGATCCCTCCGTGATCGGCACATTCGGAAGGTGAGCCGCCATTTAAACTTAGAACTATAACGAAGCAACTCCAGGTTGTCGGGATAGTCTCCCGCTCCCACAGCTTCACCAGTAAATTGGGCAAATCATCCATAATAACAAGGCCCCGGAATTTGAAGACTGCTGTAGAAACTCCACCTGCTGCTGCTACCTTGTTCGTTTGCAACAGTCTGATCTCACTTTCAACTTTTGCGCGTGAGGGCGGCTCCAAGGAGATGGTCCAGGGATTACAGCGATCAATGAGCAATAAGGAAGCTGGCAACTCCGGCTGACTGAACGGCTCTCCAAAGTGTTGTGCCCAACGTTCCAAGCGTTTTCGCAAGTTGTGGATTGGCTGTCCAGTCGCTGTCCACAAGTCTCCAGCTACCTTGTTTCCGTATCAAAAAGAATAACTTCCTATGGTTACCAAGGGCAGCTGCTGGCTCCATTTCTCATGCACGATGAGACCACCAGACTTCACGGGCTCCATTCAGACAAGCACACAGTTATGCCATGGGCTCTTTGCGCCTAAAAGTTCCAGAGACTGCGTAGAGACCCAATGTCCAGGTTGGCAACCTGAGTTGTTACATGTAGACATGTTTGCTGCTAATGACTTCTGGTGGATACGTTACTAGATGTTTTCAACAGTGTTCATTGGGCGCTTACTCAGCCTGGATGCCAGTGCATTTTTAGGTGCATACAAAACATCTGGTTTCGCCAGTTGGTAAGCACTATGCCGTCACAGCGCCGTTGAGGACGACCGCAGAAATGCACCCGCAGGTCAGCACATGGAAGTGTGTGATCGGAGTCCACGCTCGTGTTCCAAATCGAGCAACAGTTTTAGACATGTCCTCTCCAAAAGTACTACTTCGGCTTGGGCAACCGGGTAGTATCTCGCCCTCTGACGAAACCGTGGACTTTGATGTGTTGTGTTGTGTTCTCTTTTACTATTTCTGTACCTTGTTTTGAGTTCCATGGTTTCCGATGGTGCAATGTCTGTTCATAGACTGTTGCAAAAATATATATATCTACAAAAGTAACTGATCGCAATGTGCTCGATTTGCGTCCATGGGCGGTCGGAGGTTAGTGGGCTTCATGTCCACTTTCGGCGATGGTGTGTCGGAAGTTAGTGCTCGCAAGAAAGTGATGATCATCTTCACATAGATGTTGCAACCGCTCTCCGTTATCAAAACGGGTGCTTACAACTTGTTGGCCGCCCAGATGAAGCGCATCAGTGGATAGCTGATGCACAGTAATCAAGTAACAAAACTGACGGCAGGTAAGTTTAAAGACGTGCTTGTTTTGATGATAAAACAAGCAGTACTGCAATGTGCACATCAAACGTTTTTTCAGATCCAATCCATTTCTTTACAATATAGACTAATAGGAACAACCTACTCGTGGTGCCAGGTGGGTGGTTCGGGATTAAGCCGTTCCAGCAAATAGTTCGGCGGCAGTGTTTCAGGATGCGGTGGGTTTTCACCCAGCAAGCCTTTTCCCTATAAAAACCACAGATATCTGCTTATCAACACTGCGACGTGGTGGCTGTTACTGGCCACAAACTAAACTCAATACCCCGTAGATACCCAGAAAATGCTATCCAACCCACGGACATCAAGCGCTTATTCTCACATTCCTGACGGTTACAAACAGTCAAAAATGCTGCGCCACATTCACAAACACATGCTGCAAAGCTACATACATGTATATTAGGTTGGCGGCATCCGGTTTCGGACTGGCCTGTAACTGTGGACAGCCACAGAAAGCCTGCGCCTACAGAGGGACCATGGGTGGCTTGCGCTACACCACACACAGCTCCAACCACACACCCATATCCAGTGTAAACCCGGAGGAATAAGGCCGGAAGGTAGGTGGATGGGAGCAACTTTTCATCAACGGAGCCGGCCCACACTCCTTCACAGGCAAACACAAGCACGCTGTTTTTGGGAATCAAGCGCACACAAGGCGGTGGCTGGACCGTAGTCCGCTCCACACTGAGTGCATGGAACCACTCTTCGAGCCTAACAAGGCCACAAGGACTGTGCACCCTGTCCCCTCCAGCAACGACCAACTGTCTCCTGGAGCCAGTATGAAGGAGGTAGTGGATAATAGACAGGTAGGCACCTTGTCAACACGTACATCAAGCACAGCCACATCGGGGATATCAAGCAACAGCCATTCACTTTAATCGACAAGCTGAAATAAAATAAATCCAATAATGCATACAGATACGGTGGCATAACTCTTCCCTAAATTACCATATGAAGTAAGTTGGTTAGCAACGAATCCGCGATAAGTAAGAAATGTCCACAAATTACTTAAAAATACTACAAACGCAGCAAAATGACCGAAGATAAGCGCAATTAGCGTAAGCAACGTGGCCAGTTAATAGAACATTATTCAGGTAGGCAGAACAAACAAAATAAAGTGGAATGAAATTTATCCAGCTTAGAAAGACCTAGTTTAAGTGTAAGTTGGTTTAGCCCAACTGCGGTGAAGAAGCATCAAGAATTCAACACCAGCCTCAGCATTGGGCACAATTTCATACGTATGTACACCCATATACACATTCACTGTCATGCCAAACATGTATTTTTGTACAATTTTGCTCACACTGTTAGATTAACATGATTATGCCTGCAAAAGTGTACCTCACATTGTCGATGGTAAAAGTGCATTTTCTTATTTATTAATATGTGTTCCCATCAATGCGGTGCATTTGTACCGTGAATTCACAACAGCCCGTGGCGTGCTCAGATCTAATGGCCATTGAAATAAAAGTCTTGCGTACCAAATGAACGACAACCGGTTTCTTTACCTTTATAAGTATTAATGAACCTCTAATTTTTGCAACCAAATGGTTGCACAAGGTATGTTAGGAAAAAGGAAATCACAGCTTTAACAAACATCGTAGGTCTTAGCCCAAGTAATGAGGCACAGAGATGAGAATAAATCAAAACATGTTATGTCCCAAGCATTTTCAAACAGAACAAGTCACCAGAGATTAGTAGGATTTAATTTTTTGGAGAAGTTTCATCACAACTAGGCTGAGACAGACAACACACATCTAGGATGGCATCACGCGAACGTTTCGTCCCATTGAGAGGCGTTAGTAGCGCGCATCCATTGGGTCCTGCAATATCCGAACCGGTGACCTTGCTCCAATGAGTGTTAGATGGGCTTGCGCTTCACAGGCGCTCACAGCTAGATAGTTTGACATTCGTGACTGTCCCGTCACATGATTGTGTTGGACACAAGTACGACAGTCGTCCAGATCTACGCCGCTCACCATTCATGACTATGTTTTTCCATGTGGTCGGCCAATTGATCTATTGATCTTTCGCACCCCAGTTGATCAGCTTTGTTAGTTTCTCAATACAACTCATTCCGCATTGTGGTGTTCTTACTTACCGTTCGAAGTGTGTTCAGTTATAGACGTTATACTAGATTGGCGACGGGAATTATGACGGTACCTTTGGAAGTGCTTCAAGAAATGTTGTCCAGACAGCAAGCACAGTTTGAGGCATCACAGCAGCGCGTAATGGAAACATTGACAACACGAATCTCGTTACATTTAGCATCTAGGGATTCAACGATTTCCACTACAGACAAGCCGGCGCACAGTATAGCAGAATTTTATTACCAGTCGGACGATGACCTCACTTTCGAAGCGTGGTTTCGCCGTTATGAAGACATGTTAAAAATTGATGGGCGTGAGCTAGGTGATGCAGCTCAGGTACGTCTTATTTTGAGGAAACCGGGTCCACAAGAGTATGAAAAGCACTCTATGTACATTCTACCCAAGAACCCACGCGATATCTCAGTGGACGATACTGTAAAACACTTGACCAAAATTTCCGGTCCTAAAACTTTACTTTTCAACAAGTTTCCGAGGTTTTCACGTTGCTAAAAAAGAGGAGGATGATTTTGAGACTTACTCAGCTATTGTTAACAGGTGATGTGAACTTTTTCAGCTTAGCACACTCACAAGTGATCAGTTTAAGACGCTTGTTTTTGTTCGTGGATTACGTTCCCCAAAAGATGCGGAGATTCGAACATGTTTGTTAACTCGGTTGGAATCTAATCCAGATGTCTCACTGGAGCTGATACAAGAATGTGAACGTATGTTGACACTGAAGCATGACACAGAAATGATTCAACAGTAAAACGAGTCTTGTGTAGTATATGTTCATTCTATTCCTATATACCCCAGGTCATCGC